TATTCAAACATCACTTGTTCATATATTAAAAAAGTTGTAAATTTTTAAATCAAGCTTGTTGGATTTTTTAACAAATTGTTCCTTCAACATTGACATATTATCATTATTATGCTAAATAGTGTGTGTGTGTGTGTGTGTGTGTTATAAATTTATTTTTCAAGTATTTTCATGAATTTTGGTTGATTATAAACATATTATTATTTGGTATCGGAGTCATCATTTATAAATATTCAAATATCATTAACCCAAACCCATGAAAATGCTTGAAAATAAATTTAGAACATATATATATATATATATATATTATTTAACATAGTATTGATAACATATTAATGTTGAAAGAACAAGTTAAAAAAATCAAAAAAACTAGGTTTTCAAAATTTACAATTTTTTATGTATGAACAAATGATGTTTAAATATTTATAAGTGATTATTTGTATATGAACAGCAACATATTCATGATTAACCAAAACTCATGAAAATGCTTAAAAAATAAATTTACAACATATCTATTTTTATTTAGCATAATATTATAATATGTTAATATTAAAGAAATAAGTTATTAAAAAATTGAACAAGCTATAGGTTTTCAAAATTTACAACCTTTTTTATGCATGAACAAGTTATGTTTAAATATTTACAAGTAATTATTTAAATATAAATAACATCACATTCGTGACAAATAGCAAGTGAAACAAATGCTTGAAAATAAATTATAATATATATTATATTTTGCTATATATAATTAAAGATATTTGTCGGTTTAGTGGCAATATATCTTCTAAAGATGTTGTTTTTTGTATAAATTAAGGGTATTTTAGTAATTGAATTAAAAATTAATTGCAATCGAAGCCCTTAAACCTATAAAAGTGTTTCAGAATTTTTTGGATCTTGTATATGATTAATTTGCTTCTGAGGGCACTAGTTGAGATTTTCCCTGAATTTTTCTTTTCTATATAAAAATGGTAAAATTGATCCTAAGTTCCCATATTTTATATTGTTTGAAATTTTGTCCTCATATATGAGACTTTGGATCCATACCCTTGTCTACCACTAAAATGTTACTGCATTTCAAGTACTTAAACTCAGAATATATTATGATTAAATTAGTACAACTAACGACTCCCTCACACTTGTTAAACCAAATGATTGTCAACATGGCTGCTTGTTTAATTTCTTTACTATGAGTCAGCCAATACCATGGTATTAAACCCGGACCGGACCGGTCAGGTCAACCCGAAAACCGGTGACCCGGTCCTTTATCCGGTCTGGGTTTACTCCTAAACCGGTGACGAAATAAACCGGTGTAACCCGGTCAACCGGGTTCAACCCGGTTAACCCGGTGGGTTGACTGGATTAACCGGGTTATTTTTTTTTGAAATTTTTTTTTCACTTTTTATTTTTAAGAGTGCTGATTTATAGATACAAAAAGTAAAACTAAGTAAAAATAAGATAAAAGAAAAAGTAAAATCTAAGAAAATAAAAAAAATTAGATTATAACATTCGCTATTTCTCTCTCATTCTTATTCAGCCTTTTCTCTCTTCTCTCTCTCTCTCTCTCTCTCTAGACCTCTCTCTCATTGTGTCTCTCTCTCTTCTCGCTCTATCGTCTCTGTCTCTTCTCAATCTGTCTCCAGCTCTCTCAGCTCGCTCTATCATCTTTTCTCCAACTTATCTCTGTCTTGCTATCTTCATCTCTTCCCAGCTTAGTCTCTGACTTTCGTCTTTTTTCTAGCTCAATCTCCGTCTCTTCTCCAACTCTATTTCCATCTCTTCTCTAGACTTTTGAGATTGAAGAGTTGTAAGTGTAATGATAGATATTTAAAATATTGTATTTATTACTATTAGACTTTTGAGTGGTTGAATTTAGTTGAATATTTTTATAATTAATGTCTTTTTATTTAAATTGTATTATTTTAATCATGATCGGTTTGCCACCGGTTCAACCCCCGGTTCAACCCTAATTGAACCACTAACCCTTGATCCAGTGCCATAATCGGTTCAATGATCGGTCCGGTTTTACGTACCTTGACACATAAACATTTGTCAAATAAATAAATAAATAAATACGTTGGGTGGACGTGATAAGTGTATCATGCATTGATCATCAGCTTCCAGAACCTGGTGACTCTACAACAGTGTGTTGGACAAGAACAGAACTTTTGGTGGAAATGCTTGCTTCTTCGGGCAAATAACTATATTGCAACTATCTCAACTTATTCTCTCATATAGATTCCATTACTTTTTTTCTCACCTTAAAAAAAATTAATAATAAATAATACTAATTTTTTTCTGTAATTTTCTACATTGTTCATGTTGGGTATCAGGGTATGTGCGTAAACATAAGAGAATCAAGGAAAAGCCACAATTAGAATATGAGGAATACATGAAAGATGTTACGTAGGGATAAGAAAAGCACCCACAACTTTCATTATTTTAAGGAAAAACATAATTTTTACATTATATAATTTTTTTTTAATTCCTATAATTTTTTTAATGTTTTCATTTCCTAAAAATTAAAATTACTGAAAAAATAAAAATAAAAGAAACTTAAAAAATAAAGGTCACTCCATCTTTCGGAGACTATAAATGTTAAAAATATTAAAAAATGTAAGAACTAAAAAACAAAATATAATAAAATTATAAAGATTAAATATTATATATTTTTTCTTATTTAAATCTTTTGACGGAAACGATAAAATGTTTTTAATTTTGTTCGTTAAAATATAATTGATCATCTACAAAAGTGATTCAAATATTTATGTTTTGATAAACCAGCGATCCAGCAAGTCCAAATCAAAGCTAGCGTTGCTATTCCAAAAGGCATCAGACGACCAATTCCTACGCTAAATTTGTCCCCTCTTACTTTTCCTGTAAATTTCCAATTTGTCCCTTGTCTCTATTTTAATCCCACTCCCCCCCCCGGGGGGCGACAAGCTCTTTACTGTGTGCGCTTTCTAGAATTGCTTTTGAAACTGTAAACTCATTCTTATCTATCTTTTTTTTTTTTTTTTGGAGGGGGGGAGCCAGCTTCATCCTTGTTACCATTTGAAATCTGATAAACATTAAGGAAAATTTACTGAGAAACCCAAGCTATGAATTTAATTAATAATGGATCTCATCTGCATGTCAAACTCATAGTGATAAAACTGACATGTTCTTCCATGATATTATAAGATAAGACTCACAAGTATTTCCTCCGTTTTTTGTTTTTATTTATAAAGAAAACTATTATTTTTAACTTATTTTTTTATATAAATGAAATTATATTTTTCAGTAGGCATTTATTATAAACTTTTTAAATTATTTCTTCATAATTTTATCGATCATAGTCATAAAAAATAATTAATGAAGATGTGATTAATATAATTAATAAGGATATTGTAATTTAATTCTTTTATTTTTAAACATAATTAATATATTAATAATTTTTATAATTGTTTGATATAATTTTTTTTTTCATAAAATGAAGAGGAAAGGTGCACTTGAATTGTTCTCACTTGCGATTTCTATATAACTTTTCCACATTAAGTGACTTTTACAACCACGAAATACAATCATGGCATGACCAAAATCCCAATCTAATGCTATAAATATTAAGCTAGCATGCTAGCACCGCCCCTATATAGCTATGCAATATTTTTTTTTTATCTGATTTATAAGACGTATTTTAAAAGCTGTTTTTTTTTTAATTTTATTATAATTAAGATATAATTTATAGATAATATTTAAAAAATATTTTTAAAATTATCTTTCATGAGAGAAAGAAAATAATATGACATTACTTTTTAAATTTATTTTATAGAAGCATATTTAAAATTTTATATACTTTTATTTTTTATATTTTTTATTAATATAATAAATTAATAAAAATGATTTATAAAAAAAACAAAATGGCTATGCTTGTTGATGGAATAATTTAAACTTTCATTTCACTTAGATCTAGGAAAATTTAGATTCTAAATTCAAATTAATGTTTTATTATAATTTCTATATAATTTTAAATTCTATCTAAATCAATCTTAATTATATATGTGAAATTTCAACTAATTCAATTCTCTTGTTTTCTCATGCCAATTGAAAAATAGAAGTAACTTTATCGCTCCTAAATTTTATGTTTCTGTTCTAAATCTTAGCTTATTTCTCTTCTACTTTCAATTTTTTATATTATTCAAAAAAATTTAAATATAAATTTTAAATATAAAATTCAAAATTAAATCAATCAGTCTAAACATTATCTAAAAGTTACAAGTATATGTAATTTTACACTTATGATAACTTTTCCGGTATGATCTTTTTTTGTTTTTGGATTAATACTGAAAACGAAACAGTCTACAATACAAACAAGAGTCCAAAACTAAAGCAACGATCATCCTTCTCCTCTAACAGTTAAGCAAGGGAAGGTTGATCAAAAATTACAAAGTTTGATAATAAACTATGAGAGTATTTGGTGAGAAGATGAGCATGAGCATTGTCCTCCCTATACTTGTGTGGGTTATCAGAACTTGCCAGTCTCTGTGATATAGTAATCTTGCTTCCTCAACAATATCTGTGAAAGGGTGGTCATTTTTGCAGCCTTTCAAGATCAGGTGTATGGCTTCCAAGCAATCCATGTCAACATTAACACAATGAAATCCCTTCATCCAGCATATATTCAAGCCATGTATCATACTAATAAGCTCAGCAATAGTAAGGGGTACTGAGTTTACTTTACCACTAAAACCACAGACCCATTGGAATTGTTGGTCCCGCAAAATGCCCCCACGCCCACTGCTTTCATCTCTCCAAGCAGACCCATCCACTTCGAGGCTGACATTATAATCTGCATTTTCATTTGTCGTCCTCCCCCCCAGTGGTGGTGAAAAGTGCTTTTCTAGTGGTTAGGTCCCTGTCCACTCCGGTATGATCTTCATCATGAAGCATGACTGCATGCTATTGAAGATCTAGTCACAGTGTCAGTGTGTGGGGCGTGCGAGAGAGAGAGAAAGGGGGGTAGGGTTGTCATTGTCTCCAAGGATAGAAAGCAAGCTGCGAGCGAGCCGGCAACACAAGGCAAAAGCTTGAAATTTGCTATTTTACTACACCCTCTTGGCAACTTTTCTTGCAAATTCCCATTATTTCTTCTTCTTTCTTCTTTTTTCTTCTTTCTCTTATTACTTAACCTCGAAGTCTTCCTTCTCCTTCTTCTCCTTTCCCAAATATTCTCTGCCTGACTGTCTCAGAGGCCTAACCTAAATCCGCACCAGCTTTTTTCTTCTGGTTTTTCCATGGCAGCTTCAATCCCAACCATCAAGCACCACAAGCTCAATGCTGAACCGCGCAAACAAGACCCCAGTAAGTTCTATTATCATTTTCTCTACAAAGCCCTCATCGTCGCCATTTTCTTGGTTCCATTGTTCCCTTCTCAAGCTCCTGAATTCATCAACCAGTCTCTTGTCTCCAGAAACTGGGAGCTTCTTCACCTTCTCCTCGCCGGTATTGCCATCTCTTACGGCGTCTTTTGCCGTCGCAACGATACCACTGAGAAGGAAATTAACAACTCCAAGTTCGACGCGGCACAGTCTTATGTTTCTAGGTTTCTTCAGGTCTCTTCTTTCTTTGAAGATGATACTGAAAGCGAAACCCATCGCCATCTAGTGATGACGAAAGCAAAATCCAGACTTGGAGTAATTATCAGTATCGTAGGAATGAGCCTGTCGTTGTCGTTGCTCCTAAACACTCTAATTCTAACTTCAGGATTAGCGAAAAACCTTTGCCTTTGCCGGTTCGGAGCTTGAAATCTCGGGTTTCTGATTCTAACCCTAGTTCGGTTCAATCTGTGAGTGAATCGAATTCCGCCTCTGTTTCTGTTAATGGGTCTGGTTCTAAATCTGGTTCTAGAAGATTTTCCAGAAATGCAGAAACGGAAGGTTCTGGTCGTCCGACAATGGAGGATAGGTCGAAGGACAACGTTGTACTTCCTTCTCCAATCCCATGGCGATCTGAATCTCTCATGAAGCTCCACAATTCGCGTTCATCACGACCAAATTCTTCCATATCTTCTTCCTCACCACCTCTGTCTTCCCCAAAGTCAAAGGACCAATCTTTATTATCAGAATCACTGGCCAAAAATTCAGAGGACATAGTGATCAAGAACAAAGGTTTTTACAAGTCCTCTATTCCTCCTCCTCCTCCACCCCCACCAATGCTTTTCAAATCAATCTCCATGAAACCAAGAAACAGCTCGTTCAATCAATCAGGTTCCTCTGATAAGGACTTGAAGCGAAGCTTCACGAGTGAGAGAAAAGATAAGTCAATAGGTCTCTTTTTTGAAAATAACAAAGCGAGATTGGAAGCTGAAGAAGAAGAAGAACAAAGAAAGGCAATGGCTTCTGTGCGATTTGCAGAGGAAGAAGACAACAAGGTGATAATGGGGTTCGATGAAGACGACACAGAAAGTGAAGATGAAGGTGATGATGAAGCAGGACGAAGCAGGATTCTGAAAGACAGAGACGTAGAGAAGAATCAAGCTGATGATGATGATGATGAAGAAAATTCAAGAACTAGTGTGGGAGAGAAGGACCAGATGTGGATAAGAAAGCTGATGAGTTCATAGCCAAATTCAGAGAGCAAATCAGGCTTCAAAGAATTGATTCTATCAAGAGGAGTGCCAATCGAATGGCCAGAAATCTTCAAGGTAAACCCAAAAAAAAAAAAAAACCAAAAGGAAGGGGGATTAAAAAAGCAACTCTTGAAGACAATTCTCTGCGTTATTAACAATTAATAGAAGATGTAATGGAAGTGGATGTTTTGTTTCCACAGATAAAAATTAAACTTTAATCCTATTAGTCATTTATAGACAGATTTACCTATTTTAAGTATTTGATGCTTCAACTTTTAATTCATTGCTTATTATGCTTTTGACGACTCCTCAAGTTATGATAAGAAAGAACAGGTTCAAGCTAACATAAGAGAAGGGGCAACTTGAATTTTACATTGTTCTTAATCGGTTGGTTAATCTGAATAATAGCATGTTTGAACTGATCTGATTTGTTCTGCACAATATCAAATTATCATGTAATTAATAATTTAATATGATGGTTGTGGTTGGATCATTTTGGACTGTTCACTGGCAGCCTACTTCAGCTGAGCAGCCTCATTAGCAATCTGCAGATCCGATGAGTGAATGATGAATCAATCATATAGCTAAACGGGGTATAGTTCTTCTATGCGGGCAAAAAAAAAAAAAGCCAAGTTTCCAATATAAAAAATTGAAAAAACAATATCTCAAACAAAAATGACTTGTGAAGAGCATACAAAAGCAAGTTTAGCTAGGGAGTATTTAGCCTATGTCAGCATGGAATTGAATACTATTTTCGATGTGATAATTTTATTGGTGGATAATTTAAAAATGTTTTTATTATGTAAATACTTCTGTAAGTGGTGTGGCTTATATCAATGCTGGTAAGTTGCCGAATCCTACTAACTAGCTTACCTAATATTTTTGTTGAAGAGACAAATTAAAGGACTTGTAAAGGGTGCCTAATTGTGGAAGATGTTTTTGCCTGTATTTTGTGATGAATCATATTTGGTGATAGATGATGACTGCTGAGATTGGTGCTTATCCGATTGAAATAAAATAGGAAGACAAGCTTGTCCAAACAAGTTTCAAAGAGTACTATGGTGAAAGCTTGTTTGAATGAAGTCTTGGGTGTTAGTTCAATTTACCAAACTTCTCAGAAAGTTAACTTTTTTGAAAGCTTGTTTCTTTTTAAAATTTTCAAAAAGGATATAGATTATTTTTAAATAAATATAATTTTTTTCATGTTAATTGAAAGGTATCTTTTTTGATTGAATTTTATTTCATAAATTTTAGAGATAAATTTAGAAATATATAATGAACACTAAGAAGGTAAAATTTATTTGAATTTCACTAAGGCCATACATTGGTTCTCCAATTTTATATAAAATTGAATTTGATTTTTAATGTTATAAAATATATTTTCAATCTTATATATAATATTGTTAGTTTTAAATGATTATTTTTTTATTAATTATTAAAATTAAATTTAATATATCAATATTTGAGAATGTTTTGTTAATATTTAAAAATTTAATGTTGAAATTTTTTGTTGATAAAACTAATAGTGTTAAAATTAAATAATTGAAAAAATATTTTATAAAATTAATAAGAGATTAAATGAAACCTTATATAAAATTAAATTATTAAATATGTACTTTAGTTGCCCAATAAAAAATAGCTTTTAGTGAACTAAAGAAACTGAATTTTATCACATCTACTAATATAGTTAAGCTTTCTGCTGTAACAGCTAATGAGCTGTTCCTTTATTTATCCAAAAAAAAAAAACATATAGTTGGGCTGTCTAGTCTAGATCACCGAACAAGGCTTTATTTGCATGAAGACTTAGATTTTCCCTTATTGTTCCCAAAAAATGAAAAAAAAAAAAGCCTCAATGGAGGTTGGGTCAAATGAAATGAGTTAGTACTCAGTACCTCAAAACATGATAAATCAAAGTTTAAATATTTACTTAAAAAAGTGTTTATATTTATATATGATAGTATTTCTGATGCTCACAAATATGTAACAAATTTCACAAGTGTACGGTTCGTAATTAGTAAGTAGCAAATCAAAGTCAATTTCACAATGAATTAAATTAATTAATAATTAGACAATAAAGTTTTTTATTTCATTTAAATTGAGCAAAGCAAAGATATGGATTTGATTTTGTAAAATAAGGATTGAAATTAGAAAAATGTATTAAATTAAAGTTCCAGCAACCACAAACATCAAGGCAACCTAGGGTGGTTAATTCATTCTTCAATTCATAGAGTATGTAATTACCAAATAAATCACTTACTATTAATTTGTTATCTAGAGTATTAATAGAAATAATTATCTTTCGATTAATTACACTCCTCTCTTGAATTAATTTTCTATTTCTAACACAATTACCCATGAGGCAAAATGGCACAAATTCACTCTAATATAATTATATGGATCCAATAGGTATATTTCTATCCTATTGGCAAATTAGAATAAATTTTAATCCCATACGATTCAATCTAATGGTCAAATTCAGATTTTCTCCTCCAAGGCAAAATCAAACTCCTAAATCCACACTCAATGGTAATCAAATATTAAGGAGACAAATAAGTACAAAATTAAATAAACAAAACTAATATTAAGCTCAAATAAATGGTTCAACAATGCTCTAATGCAAGAATCAGTTCATAGCTACCTTAGATTAAGAGAAAATCAGCCACACATAGCTTCCATGACAGCAAAATCAACAATATATATAGCAAAGTAAAGAGAAGAAGGAGAAGAAAAGTTTAATCGAATCAATCTTAAACAAGACCCTTGATTTTCCACCCAACCCAAGCTTATTAAACCCTTTTTTTTAGCTCTTTTTCCTCTCTTGGACATTTTGCAGCTGCTGGAGGTGAGAAATGCACGAAAATGAGGTGCCCAATCCCTAAAAATTCACTGAAAGTCAAAACTGTGCATTTTACTAAAATCGTGCTTCACTGCAGTGAAACGCATTTTTGCTGCAGCAAACATGACATGTTCAAATTTTCTTCTCATATTTAATTTCTTTAACTTGGGTTCCAAAATTTTTTCTTTGGACCCCTAAATTAGGCCTCCTTACATGAATAAAACTCAAAATAAATGACAGAATTGATCCACTAAATTTTAAACATATTTTCCAACCCATTTTCACACACCATTCATCCATTTAATTATATTTTTGCTAACAAAATTAAATAAATGACTTTTAATTATATTAAAATATTAATAATTTAATAAAATATTGAAATTCATCAATTTCAGACAGAATTAAGAGTACATGTTGGAACTAGAGTAAAAGAAAGACTGCTTAAAGACAAATTATTCTCACTTATAGTCCAACATGAAAACCTTATATTATGGGCCCCCAGTGGAGGTTGCATTGCGTTTGTTTAAATGAAGTGAGACATATTACCAAAAAAAAATCAGACAAAAATTCATTTCAAATAAATTTCATCTCTTTTATTAATATCATATTGATGTGAAACTCACCAAGATAAAATCTAGACCGTTGAAATTAATTTAGATTATTTAAATTTAAATTATTAGATTTTTAATGTTCAATTCGTTTCTTAAAAAAAAAACTAGAGTAAAAGAATTATTTTATTTTAAATAGGAAAATTGATCATTTTTTATAAACAAAGAAAGATAATAAAACTACAAAATAAAGGAGCTAACATTATCTAGAAGCAAAAGTGGAGACCACTGAGTAGTATAAAAGCATGTTTCGCCAAACAATTAATTTTTACATTATCTTCTCTACGCACGTAACTTAGATCAACGTTGCAATAATGACCAAGTAAATTTTGGCATTCAGATATCAATCCTAGTGAACATGAAATTCATTAGCAGCATCTTTTAATCAAAGTCAGTGCCTCAACACAATCACTTCTCAAAATCACTTTTCCAAGGTTTTTTTTTTTTTTTTGAGACCAATAGGACATGCTTAAAGCTCAGCCCATGAGAGGATCTCCCTCAGGTAATTTAAGCATAAATAGTTCCTGTGGAGATTTATGATTATCTTCAACGATACTTTTCACAACTTGCAGAAGAAACATGATAAGAGAAAGCTCCATCAACAAAAAACATTAACCCAACCTTATTGTAATACAGGATGAGTTTCCACCTCCTTCCCAACAGCCCTAATGTTAACTCTTTACAGGTTAGGCGGTGCTGCATTATATAGCTTGAAACGATAGCCTTGGCCCTGAATATAACTGGCTGGATGTTAGTGATGCTATTCTCAAAAAATCGATCATTCCTGCACTTCCAAAGGAGCCAACACTATAACAGAATAAGCTAAATATGACGGCTTATATTTAACGGTTATAAGTGAAAAATGACAAATAAAAAAGGCGCTAAATACTTGACGGTTGTTTCAAAACAACCGTCAAGTATTTAGTATATATTTGATGGTTATATTGGCATAACCGTCAAATATATATGCATCCCAGATTTAATTTTTTTATAAATATATTTGACGCTTATTTTACAATAAACGTCAAGTATATTTCAAAGACTTGACGGTTATTTGTAAAAAAACGTCAAATATATAGTTTAAAAGGAAAAATAAAAAAAGTTAATTACTTGACGCTTGTTTACTAATAACCGTCAAGTATGTCTGAGTTTATTTGACGGTTATTTAATAACAAGCGTCAAATAATGAATACTTGACGGTTATTATGAAATAACCGTCAAGTATTGCCTTTTAAATTTACGTTCCAGAACCTTTCATTTTCACATTTTTGCAACTCGAACGTTTTCGAAAATACACCCAGAGTGCTCAGAAATCATTTTCCGTCACTAAAACTACCCAAAAACACAGATTTAGACTCGATTCTTCTTGGGTTTTGCTCGTGGGTTCCATTTTTTGGGGTTTGTGGGGTGTTCGTTCATCCAAGTCTTCATTTCAGGCGTTTTGGGTTCGTTCTCCATCTTCCATATGTGAATTTATTTCTTCTTCATCTGTTTAATTTATTTTTAGGTTTAGTGTTTAGGGTAAATCTAACTTCAAATTCCCCTACTTGCTTCTCAACAATGCAAAACGCGCGAGTTGTCTTCTTTCCTCCTTCCCCTGCTCTTCTTCTTCGTCCTCGTGCTCTGCCTCTCTTAAGTAAGTTGGCCTATCCTTCTTCCTTGTGATATTATTGTCAATTGATTGTAATTAGAGAGTTGATTGGAATTAGCAATTGGAATATGAATTTTTATTCATTAGAACTACGATTTGTGATTGAATGTATATAGGCTTTTGTTTTCAGTTCTTTGTTAGTTTTGAAATTAAATTTAAGATTA